TTAGAGCTTCCAGCACACAGGTGACTTTTGACTTTGGAGTCACCTGTGACACAGTAGATCTGGAATACCAGGGTCTGAGTACTTGGTCTGTCACTTAGTAGCTGGGTGTTCTCTAGTCATTTTTAGTTAATTTTTGTATCTCATGTTCCTTATTTATTAGGTGGAGATAATGCAATTGACTAATAGTAGAGTTATTGTGAGATTGACACATTTGTACATGTAAAGTGCTTATAACACAAGCATATAGTAAGCACTAAATAAAAAGAGACTCTAGTTAAAAGGGCCTTCTTGTTTTTGTCTTACAGTGATGTAGATATCCCTAATGGGATACCAAAGTAATATGAGGACTTTTGAGAGATAAGATCAAAGGAGACACAATAGTATAACTTTGGTAGAGGAAAAAGGATGTGTGAGAGGAACAATGGTCTTTGTAAATAATACTAAAAACAGGACCTGGTTTTCTAGACTAGGACTTTATATACATAAATGGTGGAGTCATGGATAGGGATGGAATGTGTCTCAGGATGAAACAAGAAGAATGTGTCTTGAGAGGGGATATCAGTTTGATCTTAAAGGTCATAAGCTAACATTTGTGTTGGTAGTTGGGGAACAGGATACCATAAGGAGACTGTAAGAATGGGGAAAGCAACAAGAATGATCTAGGAAGAACAACCTCAATTCCTCAAAGAAATGTTAGGGAAAGGAGATGAGTATTTATGACTCAGATATCCAAACTGAAAGCAGATTATGGCTTAAAGAATAGGAGAATTGGAAATTAACCTAGGTAGGTCAAGTAAATTATCTAGGTGGTACTGAAGTAAAGAGGTACTTGTTCTTGGATACCGTAGTAGAAAGAGGGAACCTCGAAAGGAAGAATACACACACACACATGTATGTATGTATGAGCAAACATCTTTCTTCCATGTCAGGTACTGTGGTGAGAGGGTTCTGCTTATTATTTAGTTCTATTCTGAAAACAGTTCTGACAACTCAATATCATTAGCCCCATTTTGCAGATAAGGAAACTGAGGCTGAGAAAGTTAACTACTTTGGGCAATGTGTTAAATACTAACTGGGGAGTAGACCTAAGGCCAAATTTCAGCCTAAGACTCCTATACTATTATATTGATTCTCTTTTATTTATTAAGGAGAGATTCACCTGTACTTAAAAGCAAATTTTATTTTTATAGATAGAAACAGTGAAAACAGCATTTGGGGAAGAATAAAAAGGCAAGAGAAAGAAGTGATAATATTGTGGTCATACACTAAAGAGTGCCAGGTCACATGGAGGAGTGTTTGTAGGATGTTTTTTAAAGCTGGAGTTACACAATTAGCATAGCAAGATGACATGAGGGAGGTGAGACTTAATATATCTGGACCTTTGCAGTGAATCTCATTTTTGCTAGAACAGCATATGGTAAAATCGAGACTTGCCTTTTGAACAGTTATTATCCCTTGAATGTTAAGTAAATAACCAAGACTCTCAAGTGCAAAGTTTAATTTAACAAATATAGAAACTTCAAAATTGTTTTGGGAGGCAGAAACCTGGGGAAAAGTTACATGGTTTCAAAGCCCAGAACACGGGAGAAAAGAGTTAGGTACAGTTACAGCTCTACCTCAGAGGCCAAATGGCTAAGAGACTTTTGGTTGAAAGCCAGTTCTCATTGTGTGTAGCTGTTCCTTGGAGTGTTTGGTTGTGAAGACTTTTAAGACCATGAGTTTGAGAAGTCAGTTTCTGTGGGTGTTTGAACAAGGAAGATGGCTTCATATGTGCAAAGTCTGACCTAGCCTTTAAGAGCAAGATTCAACCTGAAGAAGACATATGAACTAGATTAGAAGGTTTTTATTAGCAGTATGTTGAGGTACTTTGTTGATATCATGTCAGGCTTTTCCCCACCCAATGCTGCTGCAGTTTATTTTTAAAATCATAAACGAAGGCTTTTCTGTTTGTTTTCACTAAACTCCATTATGCAAGTTAGGACCATTGCTCTCCCGTCTCAAGATTTGATTCAGTGGATACGAATGTAAAGGCCCTGGTGTGCAGAACACTGTGCTAAAGGATGTAGAGAGGTGACTGGTGTGGGAGTCT